CAACCTGGCCTCTCGCGCCGCATGTCGAACTCATTCGAATGCCCTTGCGCGCGTGCGGGGGGGGGCACGATCCGTGGCAAATTATACCACGCGGGCCAATCGCGCGCGTCGCCCACGCGCGCATGTCGAACTCCTTCAAACATTTTCATCGCCGACGCGAGGGCATCGTCACCATTATCGGCGGGCGTGATCAACATCGGCGCCGTCATTGGCCTTGCCGTCGTAATCGCCATTATCGTCATAATCGTGTCTCCAGTTGCTGGCGTCGCCATGATACCGCGCCCGCCCGAGTCACCGACTCGCACTGAAGTGCCCGCTGGGAAGTGCCCAGCGGTCAGCGCCACCGCGGCCACGTCGGTCGCGCCAAACTAGCTGGCCATTGTGCGCGCGAGCATGCGCGGGCCAGCGTGGCCGCAGAGATGCACCAGCCAACCCCAAGCACCCATCGCAATCGCCGCCGCATGGAGTTTGGAAGCGAAGTTGCGGGAGGGTGGGTGGCATGTTTGCTACAGAATGGGATGTTTCAATTCGTTTGTAAAACATATAGTATCCTGGCCTCTTCGCGCACGCGTGTCGAAATCGTTCGAACGCCCTTGCGCGCGTGTTGTCGTAAGAACCCCTTGCAAGAAAGGGAACGGAGTACGCACGCGCGTCGTAGCGCGCGCATGCCGAAATCCTTTAACAACCGATGGTTGCGTAAGGTTTGCAAAATCGAATGTCACGAACACATTAAAACACACACACGGTTTTTGCAACCAAAAGTGCCGAACAAGTTTGCGCCCGTGCTCTTGCGATTTGTTGTTTCCGAATTGGCCTCTCGCGCGCGCATGCCGAAATCATTGAAAAACTTTCGGTGTCGTAAGGGTTTCAAAACCGAGTGCCCCGAAAACGTATAAAACAAACGGCTGCGCAACGTCAGTATTCAAAAAAACCTGCGCTCGCGCTTCTGCCGAATCTTAAGAAAACCATCGGGTTTCCAACATGTTCGTCAAATTCTGCCAAACGGGCATCTCGCGCCGCATGTCGAAATCATTCGAACGCCCTTGCGCGCGTGCTGGGGGGGGGGCACGATCCGTGGCAGATCATACCACGCGGGCCAATCGCGCGCGTCGGCCGCGCGCGCATGTCGTATACATTCAAAAACTTTAATCGCCGACGCGAGGGCATCGTCATCGTTACCGGTGGGCGTGATCAACATCGGCGCCGTCATTGGCCCAGCCGTCGTCATCGCCACTATCGTCATAATCGTGTCTGCAAATGCTGGCGTCGCCATGATACCGCGCCCGCCCGAGTCACCGACTCGCACCGAAGTGCCCGCTGGGAAATGCCCAGCGGTCATCGCTACCGCGGCCACGTCGGTCGCGCCAAACTAGCTGGCCATTGTGCGCGCGAGCGTGCGCGGGCTAGCGCGGCCGCAGAGATGCACCAGCCAACCCCAAGCACCCATCGCAATCGCCGCCGCATGGGTTTTGCAAACCAAGTTGCGGGACGGTGGGTGAGTGTATTGCGGGAGCAATGGAGTTGACAACTCATCGCGAACAGAAATCACTTGTACCACATAAATTGCACCACATAGGTTACACGACATCTCTATATATATTCTCCTTTCTACAAGAGTAATAGATTCTACCCCCCCCGGACTTATCGGTTCCCCCGCGCGTGCTGAAAATTACATATGATTCTGACCACATGTCCATCCTACATATGAATTCGTACCATCCCAGCCAAGCCGGGTTCCCCCCCTGCGGTTCCCTTTGTAAAAAACACTATGCAGTGACATTTTTTGTTCTAACACAGCACTTTTTCACGAATCCTTTGCAAAAAATGGGACGAAGTGCACACGCGCGCGTCGTGGCGCGCGCATGCCGAAATCCTTCAAAAAAACTTTCGGTCCCAGAGAGATTTCAAAATTGAATTTCCAAAAAACATATAAAAAACACATGGTTTCGCAACACTGATTCAAACAAAAAAAAACTTACGCGCGAGCTCTTGCGAAATCTTAAGAAAACCATAGGTTTTCCAAGATTTTCGCAAAATGCTACCAAACGGGCTTCGCGCTCGCGCATGTCGAAATCTGTCGAACGCTCTTGCGCGTGTGCCGTCGCGAGAATCCTCTGCAAAAAATGAGACGAAGTGCAGACGCGCGCGTCGTCGCGGGCGTATGCCGAAATCCTTCAAAAACCTTCGGTTTCGGAAGAATTTCGGAATCGTGCGTCCAAAAAACCTACAAAAACACAAGGTTTCGCAACACGGGTTTTCAACAAAATTGTGCGCGCGCGCTCTTGCGTCGTCGTCGTCGTCGTCCTCCCTCCTCCCTCGTCGTCGTCGTCGTCGTCGCCGTCGTCGTCTTCTGTCTTTCCTCGTCGTCTTTGGCGTCGTCGTCGTTTCCGTCGTCGTTGTCGCCGTGGTCGTCCTTCCTCCCTCGTTGTCTTCGTCGGCGTCTCGTCGTTGTCCCTCCTATTTCGTCGCCGTCGTCGTCGTCGTCGTCGTCGTCGTCGTGGTCTTCACTCCTCCCTCGTCGTTATCCTCCTCCCTCGTCGTCGTCGTCCGTCGTCGGCGTCTCGTCGTCGTCCCTCCTATTTCGTCGCCGTCGTCGTCGTCTTCGTCGTCGTTGTCATCGTCGTCGTCTTCCCTCCTCCCTCGTCGTTGTCGTCGTCGGCGTCGCCGTCCTTCCTCCTTCTTCGTCGTTGGCGTCGTCGCCGTCTTCCCTCCTCCATCGTCGTTGTCGTCGTTGTCGCCGTCGTCGTTTTTTCTCCTCCCTCGTCGTCGTCTCCGTTGGCGACGTCGTCGTCGTCTTCGTCGTCGTCGTCGGCGTCGTTGTCGTCGTCGTCGGTGTCGTCGTCGTCGTTGTCGTCGTCGAAAACATTGGAGACGTCGTCGGTGTCGTCGCAGTCGCTGTCGGCGGCGCCGTCGTCGTCGATGTCGCTGTCGTCGTCGGCATCGGTGTCGTGGCCAAGTGCCACGCAGTACCTACCGTCACGGTCTTGTCTGAAGATGTCTTGCGACCAAGTTGCGGGTGGGAGGGTGGGATGTTTGCACGAGCAGTGGAGAGGACAGCTTCAAGACAGTCGAAGTGGATTGCAGCACGTAGATTGCACCACATAATTATCGCAGCATATAGGTACACGCGCACCACATATACTGCACCACGCAGATTGCGTTACATACTTTGGGCCACATAGATTGCACACCATTTATTGCGCACGACATAGATCGCACAGCATACATCGCACCACACAGGCTGCAACACACGCTCACACACTCACGTATAGATACTGAACCACGTAGATTGCACACCATATATTGAACTACCCAGATTGCACAGCATAGATAGCACCACCTAGATTGCACCACCCATGTTGCACCACACAAAATACACAACGTCTACTGCAGCATAGCGACTGCTAGAAACAAATTGTTTGGGGCCCGCGCTGGCGAATTTCCTAAAGTCCAAGCAAGCTTAACACGGATACGCAAACCCAGCTGCAGTCGAAACGCAGACCGAAGCGTAAGTAGCAACGCAAACGGGAAAATGATAAGTCGGAGCGAGGAGCAGTGTACAATCCCAGTGCAAGGCGACATGCACATCCGCATGCGAATGATTGACGCCCCACGTATCGCCACTGCTCCATCCTTCGAGTACGAGATCGACTACACAATTGACTTACACCAAAATCGTCATGTCCGTCGAAACTAATGAACAATTTTTGAACGGTTGCAGATTCACAGACATTCGATGCTCTTGTTTTGTAGATTTGGCGAACAACAGAAAAATAAGTTTGGGGCACATCAATTCTGCAATCGGTCTCCTAATCGAATCCTGCCCTCGTTTTCTCGGCCGGTGCCCCCCCCCACCCCACCCCGCAGGCTCTCCGCGAAAACCGAGGAGGAGGCTCCCCCCGCCCCTCTGGGCGGAAGCTGCGTCGTTTGCCGCCCGCCGCCCCGCCGATCGCCTGGTGCTGGGGGCGCCGTCGCGTTTCCTCGTGCATGGGGGGAGGGCGAGCGGGGCGGAGAGATTTGGGCTTGAGGTTCGAGGTTCTCGAACGTCTCGGTCGGTTTTCGGCGGTCGTCCAGCCTCGGCGTGCATTCCAGCAGCTGCGCCTCGCCGAGGGCCTTTCGTGGGTGCCCGGATCGTCCCGAATGGCCGCCGGAAAGCCGAATTCTGACTCGAAAACCACAGGGCAATGTCAGGGGGGTACAGGCTCAGGGAGTAGCGCATCGACCCCCACTCGCCCACTCATTGGGCCTGATAGCCCACCCCGCCCAGGAACATACTGTTTCGCGATCGGGGGCTTGTCGCCGATTCATTGGCGATGTATCGCCGTTTTCAGGTCCATGCTTCCCCCCTGAGCAGGTCCCCCCCTGACGCTGCTCCTCGCTCATGCCTTGGGGAGGTCGAGCGGGTGGGCTCATTGCGATCAGGGGCAAGCGCAGGGTCGAAGAAGCGCAGGTATAGCAAGGCACGTTGCTTAGCGATGGATCCCGCAGAATCACGGGTGCCAATATGCCCTGTCTATTGCGCGTCATGTGCTCTTCACGCCTTGAGCATGTCTGCCATAGGAAGGCCCAGTCCTCTCAGCTGTGCTCCGCGACCGTTCCCAGCTGTATCCCCATGCATACAATGCCTTGATTTGTTCAATGCGGGGCCCCTAGAAGTCCCAACCCTCTCCCCAGGACCGGCTTTCATCCCGACTCGTCATCTGACGGTCCCGTGGCCCGGCGAGAGCCTGGGGGCCGAAGATGGTAACAAGGTCTGTGTTGTTGTTGCTTCTCCATGCGCTAGAGGTATGGTCATCCCCGGCAGGCGCAGGCGACGGCGCTCGATCCAGTGCTTCTGACGAGCCGCTGGGGCCGCGCAGCGCGACCAGCGGGCAGGCGACGTCGGAGGGTGAGCCTGCGGGCCAGCGACGCACAGGGAGGGCGGCGAGGCGTCCGGCACTGGCGTCGCGTCTCCTTCCCCAGGACAGCCGCGGCCGCCGTCGCGCAGCGGGCCAGAGGCGCGGGGCGTCTCCGCCAGCCGCGGCTGCGGTCGACAGTGGTGTTGTGCCTGGCCGAGGCCGCGGCGGTTCGGACGTCCCCAGCACAGAGGCCAGGGGCCCGGCCAAGGGTGCGCTTTGAGAACGATTCCAGCTGAATGCCCGCCAATTCTGCTGCCAGCCACGAGCTGGCAACTGACATCCGTACCTAACGTCCCGTAGAACTTCTGGAGTGGATTTCTGGGGGGTCTATTCGTGCGTGTTGTCGGATGGGGGTCACCGCTGGAGCGGACCCCCCCCCCTCGGGGTCCGACATGTCGCACCCATACCTATAGCGCGTTCATCGCGATGCCCTTCCCCATTCCTCTCCCCTATAGGTTTGAGCGTGTGCTGTTCGTTGATCATCCAGGGGCCGATGAGAGCGACGTTCTTCTGACCCCACCCCTGCGTGCTCCCGACGGAGGGCCGCGCGCGGGGCGCCGCGCGGGGAGGGCCCAGGCGAAGAGCGACGAGTGCATCAAGACGCAGCCTGGCGGCCTGTGCGATGAGGCCCCGCAGCTGGTCACGGGGGAGCGGAGGGAGTTCTTCGCTTCTTTGTTGTTCCTGCTTGTATTGCTTGCTCGGGATAACTACTACTATTAGAATAGTATTATGATTGGTAGTACTAGTATTCTTACTATTACTATCAGTCGTGTTTTATGTTTCGTATTCGTCTTAGTCTTCTTATTGATATTCACTGCCTGCTTATTATGTGTAGTAGTACTAATATGTTTCCTTTCTTTACAATAGATGAATACGTATTCGCAGTAATAGTTTTATTATCATGATGATTTCACCTCCTCCTCCTCCTCCTCCTCCTCTTCCTCCCCCTCCTCCTATTCCATGCCTCCTACTCCTCCTTCCCCTCCTCCTCCTCCTCCTCCTCCTCCTCCTCCTCCTCCTCCTCCTCCTCCTCCTCTTCCTTACAAATATCACACCAGGGAGCCCTCCCTCACCACGGCGGTCCTGACCAGGTCCGCGACGATGCCAGCCGCCGTGTCGCTTGCGACCGCGGCCTCCTGGACGCTGCTCTTGGATTGGGACGGCTTCCAATGAACGACGTTCTGCTTTCCTTTGCCTTTCAGCTGTCTCCCAGCCTCCTGCCTTGTAGCTTCGACGATGTCCTGCACCTCGCTGCTGGCCCCGCAATTGTCCTCGTCGCCGCTGCTCTCCTGCTCCTCCTGCCCGAAGCCGAGGCAATCAGCCCCACTTCCAGCTCCTGGTCAGCTTTTTGCCATTCATCAGCAGCCTCGCCCACGTCCCGCTCGAGCGCCTGCAGGTGGCGGGACACCTCGGCAATCCTCTCCTTCGTCACCTGGGCGGCTTCGCCCTTGGCCACCTGGCCCTTGGCGCTGTCCGCGCCCTTCGCGCCCGCGACGGGCTCGAGCCCCGCCTGCAGGGACACCCTTCAGCGGCCTCGCGCTCGGCGACGCGGCTCGCCTCGGCGAGCGGCACGTCCTCCGACTTCGCGTCCTGCTTATCCTTCTTGTCATGTTTGCCCTTCTCGCCCTTCAGAGCAGGGGGCCACCGCCAGCGGCGAGGGCGCATCCGCCGCACGCGCCGCCCGCGCACCGCGCTCCGCCGCAGCCGCCCGCCGCCCCAGCCATCCGCGCCAGCACCATTGCACCACTCCAGCAGCGAGGGCTCGTGCAGCGTCCGCCCGCCGCACGGCCTCGGCCGAGGCCCGAGCCTCCGCGGCGCGTGCCGCAGTCTCCTGCGCCGCCTCCCAACGCGCCGCCCGCCTGCCCTTGCCCTGCATGAGCTGCCAGTCGTCGCCAGCCTTGAAGCTCTTGCGCTCCTGGCCTGAGGGGCGCACGGCCTCCACCAGCCGCTCCTGCAACTGGTCCTGGGCCGCCGCGTTGCCCTCCATCCTCTGGCCCCCCACGGCCCTCGGCAGCCCATCCGCGGCCCCGCGCCGCGCACCATGTGCGCCGCCCACGCTGGGCACGACCGCCTCCTGCACGTCCTCGTGCGACCGTCCTCGGGCATCACCAGCTTCTCGGCCTCGCTGCCGTCGACGTCGTTCGCGAGCTCCTGACTCGGCTGCCCTGCGCCGCATAGCAAGCGGAGCAGCTCCTTGCCCTGCTGGGCCCTGGTCGCGCCGTCCAGGCTCCCCGAGGTAGCGCCCTCGAGAGCCGCAGCAACCCCATCGACCCACTGATGCAGCACCACTCCGATGACCGCCGGCTGCACCCAGACAGCCGCGCCGCAGCCGCACCAGCAGCTTCCGCCAGGGAGGCCCGCCGCCATCGCCATGCCGCCGCCCTTCTCCACGAGCTCCGACAGTGGCCAGCCATCGCGCCGCGCCGTAGGTGCTAGTCCCAGCCCGAGCAGCCCCTCCTGGGCCCTCGAGCTGGAATGGCGACGACGCTGACGACGGCGACGACGACGACGACGCCGACGACGCGACGACGACGACGACGACGACGACGACGACGACGACGACGACGACGACGTTGACGACGACGACGACTGCCGCAGTGGTTGCGGTATGGGCGGCAGCGGCGCCCCCGACAGGGCGACGCCCTCGGAGCGCCGGACTGCTCCTTCACCGCCGAGGCGCCGCGCGTGTTTGGCACGCCCCGCGGGGCTCCCAGGGAAAGAGGGAGGAGGGGGGAGGATCGCGGAGCAGGAGAAGGAACGAGGGAGGAGGGAGAAGGGAGGAGGAGGGATGATGAGGAGGAGGAGGAGGAGGATGGAGGATGGAGAGGGAGGAGGAGGAGGAGGAGGAGGAGGAGGAGGAGGAGGAGGAAGAAGACGAGGAGGAGGGAGGAGGATGAGGAGGCGCAGGAGCAGCAGGAGCAGCAGGATGAGTGAGGAGGGGGGAGGAGGAGGAGGAGGGAGGAGGAGCAGGAGCAGCATGAGCAGCAGGGGGAGGGAGGAGGGAGGAGGAGGAGGAGGAGGAGGAGGAGGAGGAGGAGGAGGAGGAGGAGGAGGGAGGACGAGGAGGAGGAGGAGGAGGAGGAGGAGGAAGAGGAGGAGGAGGAGGAGGAGGAGGAGGAGGAGGAGGACGAGGAAGAGGAGGGAGAAGAAGTCGGATGGAAGGGGCGTCGGCGGAAGTTAGCAGAAGGTTCAGATTTGGCGGGGCTTGTCAGGAGGGCTCAAGGATTGACAAACTGGCCCCCCAGGATCGCCCGAGTCACTCCTGGAAGGGGGGGGGACGGCGAGGTATACCCTCTCCCTTTGTCCCCCCACCCCACACCGCGGGGAAGGAATCATGGGGAAGGGCCTGCGCTCGACTCGAGTACGACCTGGCCGCAAGGAAGAAGGGGGGAGGGCTTAGTATTGAAAAAGGAGTCTCAAAGGACCACCCCTGGACGACCACCCAAGGACCCCCTCACGCCGCGAGGGCTCGACAGGTTTTCACGCATGTGGAGTCCGCCGACCGCATGTTAGATATCCCCCTGGGGGGACCTAGACATTTGAAAGCACGTGCAAGATGCGTGCGTGCCAGACGCAAGTTGGATATCTTCACTTCGCACCCGTATTTGTACGCACAGCGAATCCGCCGACTGAATTCTGGATGTGGTACCCCTGGCGACGAAAACAGGTGGAACGATGCGCCAGATGCGTACGCGCTGGATCCATGTTGGACCCCCCCGTCAGCGCACGCACTGTTACGCATGTGGAATTCCGACGGCCCCGTCTTCACACCCCTCCGAAGCCCAGGCCCCCTTTCCTGCTGCCGTGCGTGGCAGGACGGCTTGCCCGGCAGGGGTCCGTGGGCCCCAGGGTTCGCTCCCAAAGGCCCGCTGCCCGAGCAGGCCCCAGCCGGAGCAAAGCCTTGCCGGGTGGGCGGGCGCCGCGTCGCGCAGCCCAGCCTTGCGGCCCGGCGGACAAGTCCTGCCCCCCTGTGTTTTCCGCAGGGGGGCAGGGTTTGTCCTCCGCTGCTGGGGCCAGCGCTACACACTGTGGGGCAATCGTGGTGCGCTGATGGTCCGAAGAATCCGACTGGTACTGATGGACCAGCGATGGCCAGCCCAGTCATCCTCACCCTCTTGTTGCTGGTGCTGCTGCTCCTCATCCTCCTCCTGCACCTCCTTCTCCTCCTCCTGCGCCTCCTCCTGCTCCTCCTCCACCTCTACCTCCTCCGCCTCTGAAACCCGTCCTTGCAAAGAACTCCTCGTCGCCCCACCAGACGTGTCAGCAGGGCGGGCCAGGCGTGTGGCTTGAGACTTCGTCGCTTGTGATCTTGTAGCTCGAGTTTCCCAGCACTCGCACGGATGGATGGCAAGTCGGTTTGAAAATGTGGCTCTCCCCTTGACGCCGTGCGCATTCGTCGTACCATGCGCTTGAAGGATCTAGGGCCGGTGGTTCTCAAAATGTGGTTTTGGCTTTGACGCCGCGCACACACACGATTGGAAAGCATCAAGGACGGAGGGCGGGTGTGTGTGTATATCAAAATCTGGCTTTCGCGTTAGCGCCACGCCAACTGGTTTTTGTTTAGAAAATCCAGGAGCTATAACAATGAAATTCTGGTCGTGTTCGACTTGTCGCTACGTATCGTTTTCACGCCGGGCCCTTTCGTCTTAACAGCTTCCAATCAATACAAGGATGGAGGGCGGCCCTTTTTAAATATGTGGCAATCGCCCTGGCCACCGCGCACATTCGTCTTCCAAGACACAAGCAGCCACAAGGAAGGAGGGCGGTTCCATTTCAAAATGGGACCGCCCTTCAATGTGCGATCGCTCGACAAGCCGTAACACATACATAGAGAATAATGGAGTCTTGTAACAGCAGCACGAATGTTGGTTGGACGCTTCCTCATCTTCATGATATTGCCCATTCGACGTATACTCCTTTGCCTTGATACGCCCGTGTTGAAGCGCAACACGTACTGTGTTCAAAATGTCAATGTTAACACGTTGCGTGTTGGCTCGGCAGGTATTGGTCCACGGTTTGGCGAACGTATCGCGCCTGACCTACGTGTTCAGTCTACGTGTGAATTGCGTGTCAACTCGGTACGTGTTCAGTATTGCGGATCGGTGCAGCTATGTACGGATAGCTAAGAGGATGCAGCTCCTATTCAGAAACGAAGCTCTCCCCAGAATGGCAGGCCCACGAGGGCGCTTTTAGGGATTCATTAGGGTGGGGCTTGCGACGGAAGGACTTGTTGCAGCATCGTTGGCGCATCCCAGGTTTACTGACTCATTGTTTCCCCCTCCTCCTCCTCCTCCTCCTCCTGCTCCTCCTCCTCTTCCTTATCCTTCTCCTCCTCTTCCTCCTCCTCCTCCTCCTCTTCTTCCCCCTCCTCCTCCTCCTGCTCCTCCTCCTCCTCCTCCTCCTCCTCCTCCTCCTCTCCTGTCCCCTCCCCTCACCTCGAGGAAGCAGGCGAGATCTTGCTAGACGAGCTCACCGGCATCGGCGACTACGAGACGTGGTGGACGAGTTGGCAGGAGATCCCCCATACTCCCGCTCCCCTCGCCCACCCCCCACCACCCATCGGCGGCGATCGAGGGGGGAAGTGAGAAGGAGAAGGCCGTTTCCGAAGGTTCGGAAGTCCCCTGGCCTTCGGAAAAGTGTTCGCAGCCTTTCCCGAAGACACAAAACATCTTCTCGAAAGGCCGGCAGGCTTCTGAGAAGCCCCGCAGCCTTCTGAGAAGGCGTTCTTCTCCTCATTTCCCCCCCTCGCTCTCCGCCGAATCCAGGAGGGAAGCTCGGTTCAAACTCCTCGGAGGTTGAATTCAGCATCGGCGCTGGTGCACCCGCGGTAGAAAACCGTCCTACTCTGGCGCGGTCCTGCATAATCCGGCTCAGTCCCTCTCAATCCGGTCTCTTTGGCTCAATCTGGTTTATTCTGGCTTGGTGGCCCCCTCGTCCGGCCTTCCATCGTTCCCACGAAGACCTCCCAGGAGTTGCCTCCGAAGGGAAGGAAGGGAGAGCCTGGCGGGCCCCAGGACCGGCCCAGGTCGTTCCAGAGCGCTCAGGAGCGCTCTCGGGTCTCAGGCCTGGAGAGCTCTGGGACGACCGCGGCGCCCGAGACATCTTCCACAACCGCCGCATCCCAGAGGTCCCCAGGTGTAGCCCGGTCCGAGATTGTCCCGGTCCGATGTTGTTCCGGTCTTGGCTTCGTCTTAGAGACGGGGCGGAGATATGAGTGGGGATGGGCATCGCAGAGGAGGTGAGGGGAGAGGGGTCAGTGGACGGGAGCAGGCTGGGAAGGCAATGTGGCAGGGCGAGTGGATGGTAGGAGAGGAAGGGAGGGCGAGGGGGGGCGGAGAGGAAGATGAAGGGGAAGGTGGAGAGAAGGGGTGGAGAGTAGAGAGGAGCCAGAGGGTGTAAGCATACTATGTGCCCTCGCGCTATATCTGACATCATACCCCTCCCTCCCAACCCTTCTCATTGTGTTGATGTGTTGTCCCTGCGGGTGTCATAGCCGACCTGGAGCTTCAAAACAGACCCCATCGTGCAATACGCAATCGGAAAGGGGCGTGCGTACATAGGAGGGGGAGGGAGGAGGTGGCGGGTGACCACGAGGATGACCACGAGGATGAGCAGGAGGAAGAGGAGGATGATGAGGAAGGACGAGGACGAGCACGAACAGCAGCAGCATTAACTGTAGTAGAAGGAGTGCAAGGAGCAGGAGGACCAGGGGAAGGAGGAGGGGAAACCAGGAGGGCGACGAGGATTCAAAAGGAGTCGGATCCAGCAGAGTGGCCCGCGCCGGGGCGAGAGCGCCATTCTGAACGAAGGGCGCACAGCGCCATCCAGCGCATCATTTTTAAGCACCCAGAGCAATCGGATTGCAACATAAAGACATAAATCAACAAGTGTTTTGAATCCTGTGTGGGGGATACAATTTGCGGAGAGGGCCGAATACCTCCCGCACAACGTGTAATTGTGGACGGGGAGGGCGGGTCAGTGGGTGCAGAGAAGGACAGGAAGGAAAATAAAGGGAGGTGAGTGGAGGAGAGGATGGGGACGAGGACGAGGAGCAGAACGACGAGGAGCAGCGGAGAAGGGCGCGCTCGGGCCCCCGTGGCCGCGAGGAGACCCAGGAGTACAACGTGGACCACGACGTCGGCATCGATTGTCACTTCTGGGACGGGGGGGGGCGCCCCGGAGAAGAGGAAGGAGGAGGAGGAGGAGGAGGAGGAGGAGGAGGAGGAAGAGGAGGAAGAGGAGGAAGAGGAGAAGGAGAAGAAGGAGGAGGAGGAGGAGCAGGAGGAGGGGAGGAGGGGGAGGGGGAGGAGGAGGAGGAGGAGAAAGACGGATGAGCAGGGAGGCGGGCTGACGGAAGGAGGGAGGGAGGATGGAGGAGGACGAAGAGAAGGAAGGAGGGAAGGAGGGAGGAATCTATTCCAGCGCCAGTCCACGACGTCCGCGCGGACCCCTAAAAGTCTATGTTCAGGTGTTGTTCCTCCGTATCCCTCCTCCTTCCCACCTGCCCCACGGCCCTGTTGCAGGTCTTTTGCAAGCCCGCTGTCGGCCTGCCCAGCCTGGCCACGGGCCTGAAAGGTCGCTGTTTGGCGCCATCGCCGAGCTGCCTACCCAGCTGTTGCTGCCGCTTGCGAGGCTTGTCTGGTTGCCTGGCCCTCGGCTGCGCCTCCACCGCGCTGTGAACTGTCTGTCGAGAGTTCAGTGGCCTTCATCGTGGCCGATGCTGCGAACAGAGGGTCCTCATTCCTCCCTCCCCCGTTCCTCCCTGCCTCCTCCCTGCCTCCTCCCTCCCTCCCCTGGTTGATGTTGAAACAAAACAAAGCACCCTCCTTCCCTTCCCCCCTCCCCCATCCTCCCTTCCTCCTACCGGGAGGGGGGGGAGGCTGGACAGGGGCTGCCGGGAGCCCTGCACGAGCAGCCTGGTGGGGCGCAGGACCATAGGAACGACAAGGAGGCTTGCGCCAAGCGCCTGAAGGCGGCTGCCGACATGTTCGAGCAGCAGCACGGCCGGGGGGAGGGGAAGAGACACCGTGGAATAGGAATGGTGCTCTTTCGCAAGGCTCGCTCGACGATGGGGCCACTCGGAAGTGTTACAGCACCCGTGCACGCGCCTGAGCCTCGAGTACCAGAGGCTACGGAACAGAGAGCGGCACCATCCATCTTCGGAAGGGGGGAGGGGAGAGGAGGTCGGGCGGCGAGGCTTTTCGTCATCTTCGGCGGAAGAATCGAGCCGCAGGTTCCTCGTCGTGTTCGGCGTTGGGGGGCCCTCGCAAGACCTCGGGTCCATCAAAAAGCGATCCGTGGACGAAAAGCTGGTCCCCGTGACGTGATCCAGAGCTCCAGGGACCCCGCATTGCTAGCTTATGTGATCGTAGGTCACGGCATATCTAGGCCCCCCAGATAGGGTCAGAGTAGACGTGGTCGGAGTACCGCGCCGGATCGCCGGTGCATCGGCGATGCGGCTCGATGGGGAACCTTGTTTTCTCCACGCCGACGGCGCCGATGCATCGACGATGCGGCGTGATCATCCGACCCCATCTCCTCTTACGCCATCCGGGAGGCCTCTAAAAGAGGGGGGGAGAGAAGGTCGGGGCACGAGGTCCATACATGTCCACTGCCCCTGGCCAGGCCCATCTGAGCCCAGGATCGGTGCATGTGTCTGCGGATGCCTCTCTGGCCAAGCCAGAGGGGCGAATGCACACCCCCTGAGCCCAGGATGGGTCTGGCCAGGGGCGAAGAATGGATATTGATTTTGTCGTTCTCAGAGGAGGAGGAGGAGGAGGAGGAGGAGGAGGAAGGAGGAGGAGGAGGAAGGAGGAGGCGTCCGTAGCCATTTTGGCTCAAGAAGCGACAAGCTCTGGCCGCGCGCGTCTATGGCTCGCCAGTCGCTTAGGAGCGAAGGTTAAATAGGGAAGGGGAATCGCCGTGGACCCCAGTGGGGTGCAGAAAACCACTCTCTCGGCCCGCCGTGCGAGACCACTGCGGCTGCGAAAAGAAAATGGCGCATTCGAAGTTTTGCTATCCTTGTGGTGCTCAGCTTGTTCGTAAGCCACCCCAGCGCGATCAGGGCGCAGGGGATTGGAAACAGCTTGCCCCTTGGAATAAAGACGGGCAAAGGGCGGCGAGGGGACCGAGAGAAGACCAATCAGTATGAGCAAGAACGTCCTCCCAAGGGCCACGGCAAAGGCACCCGTGACAAGGGAGGGAAGGGTGGGGGGCGCGGCGACCGTCCCAATCCTACTCCTCACGACATCCTCCACCGCCTATTCCAGAAGGTGGGCAGTGGAGGCACTGACTTCGACCAAGCCACTTCATGTTTCCTTGAGCAGGCTTGGCATTCCCATCAGGCCCACAAGGATACCCAGGCATCGGCTTCCTCCAGTCTTCAGAAGTTGGGCAGAGAAGTACAAAAGTAGGAGACCAAGGCCGAGTCCATTCAGGATAACACTATAAAGGCAGAGGCAGTGGTTACTGAGTATTTGGAGTGGTGGGCAGAGTTGGCAAAGGAGTTGGCAGCAGCTCAGCTTCAGCTTCCAGAGGCGCATGCCAAAGCCCAGGCCAAGATCCAGGAGAGCATCTGAGGAGCCCCAGGAGCCTCTGCCTCTTCCCCCTGGCAGTGACACTGACGGAGATCTCAAGCAGGCAGTCGGTATTGTTGTTCAGGACCCACAGCTAAGGGGGCAGATCGAGCGCCAGTTCTACTCCATCCTCGGCATCCCCCATCTTCAGCAGGGTTCAGGAGGCCAGGAAATTGAACAGGACAAGCAGCAACAGCAGCAGCAGCAGCAGCCCCTCCAGCAGCGCCGGCAGCAGATTCCACAACCCTCCGCAGTGGACTGCGTGTACACTGGGGGCCCGGAGGAAGAGGTGGAGATGGAGAAGGAGTTGGGGGAGGACCTGCATGGGATTCTTGGGAGCTCTGCAGGGCCCAACAAAGAAGTCGTGGCGCAGATCCGAAGGGCATGCCTTAAGCACGCAGGCCAGCCCAAAGGTGTCAAGAAGAGGGTTGGTATCATCAAGAAGGAGAAGGAGAATCAGCAGCACCGGCAGCAGCAGGTGGGACAGGTCCCCCAGGTCAGGCCTGCAGGCAGCCTACGTGGAGCTGGTCCAGGAGCAGAAGGCCCAGGAGCTGGCGCAGGAGGCGGTTGGGCGGGAGTAGTGCCCACCACTCCAGAGTAGCATCAAGCCCCTCGTCCTCTCCATCCTCAACTTGAATTCTTGGGCGACGGGTTCGGAGCTCCTAGACCAGGTTGTAGGGGACATTGCGTACATCCGAGAGCACAAGCATCTAAAAGGTAAGCATGCCGAAAAAAAACCTCTACATTTCTAGCCAGAGGATGGAATGGAAGCGCTATTGGTCTCCTGGAACAATGCTGGATATTGGGTTTGCATCAGGAGGAGTCCTCATCCTCGTGAAGCGCCACCTAGATGGTTGGGTCTCTCCCACCATGCCATGCAGCCTGGCCCCTGCCAGGTTGGTACGGTGCTTCCTCCGAACATCAGCATGGGGTACGATAGCGATCTACCCCATCTACGTATGCGATGGCGTTGGTTTGGATTTATAAAATCTGCGCACCCCCAAGGACCCATCGCGGGCGGGGATTTCAACGTGAACCCTTGCCATTGTCCATGAGCGTGTGCCCTTCAGAGACTTGGGGTTAGTCACCAGGGCGCCAGAGGCGTACACCTATCGCTCGAAAGGCGCTCGGACCAAGATCGACTTCTCCCTGGTCCCCGCGCTCTTAGATAGAGTTGCTCCGACGGTCGATGTGGGCCAGGACGCGCCTTCCCACCCTCATCCGGTTGCCAACCTCACGGTGGATAGGGCCATCAAGGACGTCGCACTGACCATCCCTGCGCAGTTTCAGTCAGCACCGCGCGACGCAGCGACTGGGGCTCCAAGAGAGCCGCCAGACTACCAGGATTTAGCTGGCACAGTGGAGGTTGTCCTGGCCAGTTGCACAGACCAAGGAGGTGCCGCCTGGACAGCAGAGGGCCAGCATCGAAGGGAGGGTTCGGCTTTGCCCGCAGATGTTCACGGGCCACGGGCAACGCGCGCGTGGCAGGAGATTCTAGATGCGACTCAGGCACCACCCGAATGGACCCCACACAAGTCACCACCAAACCCTTGTCAGAGCCCCTCACGACGAAGCACCATTCCAAGAAGTTGCCACACACACACACACCGCCAGTCTGGTTCGTCCCTGACTAGATGTTCGGAGCTCAGGGGCCTGATTTCCAAGCCGGACGGAAGTATTTCAGCGGCGGCTTCAACCTGGCGCGCCGCTGCAATCTGCCCCCGAAGAAGGGGGGCCGCTCAGGGAATTACGGCGGGAAGTTCAGGACTGTTGGCGATACCTTCGTGGAATGATTGGAACATCTTTGAAGACGGCGCCCGAGGTTGAAGCGGCGTCTAGTTTAACTGGGCAAGCAGAAAGTACGCGAGGTCATCCGCGACGCAGGCCCACCCCAGGAATCCATTATTAGGTGTGAGTCCTGGGGGGCATTGCGCCCAGGGGCCTCGTAAGATCCGGGGCGAGGGATTTTCAAGGGATCGGGGGTTCTCAACATCCCTCGCGGTGGCGATCGAGAAGGAGTGGCAGTAGTGGAAGGCAGCGTGGGATGGGATGGGGGAGTTTGAAAGAGATGACGCATGGCACGTCAACATCGCCTCGGCCCCCGCCCCCTCCCCCCCCCCCCCCCGCGACTAGCGTGATCAGTGGAGCTTCGCGTGCTTTCAAGGAGAGAACGTGCGCGCCAGACGGCTCTCACCCCAGGCATTTTGCCTCTATCTCAGGTGGAGGTCAATGCCATACGTGCCCCCCCCCCCCCTCCTCCATCAATCGCAAGTAGTCAGTGCGCCCCCTCGGCAGATCCGCGAGCTCACGCCAGGAAGGTTAAGGGGGCGGGGGGGGGGGGGCTTAATCTCAGGCGGAGGCCAATGCCTCAATGGGGGGGGGGGGAAGCTATATATATATATATATATATATATATATATATATATATATAACCCCCGCCCCACCCACCCACGGGCCCCAAAAAATGACTGAGTGGGGCGGACTAATAGAATTCAGCCGCCGCACATTTTCGGCATTTTTTTTTTTTTTTTTTTTTAAAAAAAAAAAAAAAAAAAAAAAAAAAAAAAAAAAAAAAAAAAAAAAAAAAAAAAATCGCCCGCCCCCCCCCCGGGGCCGCCAGCCAGCGCTGCAGGGGCTGGGAGGGCCGCCCTGTCTCCTCTGGAGGCCAAAGGAGCACCAGCCTGTCTGACTGGCTGCGGACTGCAGCGCGCGGCGACGAGGAGGAAAGGGAGGCGAGACAGCGAGAGGGCCACCCTCGCCCTTGCGGACGGGGGGGGGGGGGGGGGGGGAGAGGAGGGCGAACAGGAGGAGGGCGAGGAGAAGGAAGCGGAGAAAAAGGAGGAGGAGGACGGCGAGGAGGAGAACGAGGAGGAGGAGGAGGAGGAGGGAGGAGGAGGGAAAGGGAGGAGGAGGAGAAGGAGGAGGCGGGGGAAAAGGAGGGGGAGGAGGAGGACGAGGAGGAGGCGGATAAGTAGGAGGTGGACGAGCTCGCCCTGAAAAATCACCCCGTCCACCCGCCTGGCCCCCCGCCCTGGATCGCCGCCCCGCGCCCCCCCCTCCTGGCCTTCCAGGCAGCCCGGAATTGTCGGCCCCCCGCCTGCCCGCCCTGCCCCCCCGCCATTGCGGGGGCGAGGGGGGCCGCGAAACAATTGTTTTCATCGTCCGCCCCAGAAAGTTGTTTCAATCGTTTCCCCCCATCACGTGCCTCCTCGTCCATCTATCGCAAGTAGTCAGTGCCTTCCCTCGGCAGATCCGCGAGCTCATCGATTTGCTGGCCAGGAAGGTTAAGGGAGCGGGGCAGGGCCCTTTGGACACTACTCAGCCTCCGCAAGGATGCGTGGTCGGTGCCCCTGGGAAGATTCGAGAGAGTGGGAGGGCCGATGGGGCGCGGGGGCGCAGCGCTTCACGAGCAGGGGCAAGATCGCGGA